TTCAAAATTCAGAAAAAAAAAAATCAAATCAGTACCAAAAAACCAACTATCTTGAGTCATACATCATCTATTGAAATAATTGAGAAATAATTATCAGTTATGATTCTAATTGAATGATTTATATATTTTAAATTATAAATAATAATTATTATTAATTATTAAGTGCATTAAAACAATTAATTTAAACATTTCCATTAACCATAAAATTTGTACTGTTCTCTTGAATTTAAGGATGTTAATTCCCGTCAACAAAGTGGAACAGCGTCGCAATTAGAAGACTGACTGATTGTGTGGTGGACTTAGTGGAAACGTAGATTTGGAAATCAACAAAGGAACACCTAATGAACAATGATCCCAACATTAACATGGAACAAATAATATATGATTTTTATTTTTAGGTGTAATGCTTTTCCTTTAGTAAATTAAGGATAAAGCTACTACACCCAACTTTAAATATATATATACAAAGAAAAATGACTCAATACCCACTTCTGACTTTTTTTTTTTTAATAAACAAAGGAACAACCTTTCTTCTTTTTTTTTCATTTTCCATGGGGGTTGTTTAAAAGATGTGGTGGGTCAGAGTCAGTGTCACATATATCTAATTACATTTGATTTGGCTTAATTGGTTTCAAAAAGAAGGATTAATCTGAGATGCGTAGTCTGGAACCCAAGCTCCTTCCCATCCCATGCACTCATCCCACATGTCTCCTTCATCAAACACCAGCTGCATCTCCTCTTCTTCTGTTGCTCTCCTCAAATTGGTCATCACAGTCTGCCAAACACAAACCGTCAGATACTTATTTTAAAAACCACACTACTTCAACACACACCCAAAAAAAAAAAAAAACATTATTATCCTAAAAATCATTCATATAAACAAAAATTAATCCTTTATTTAATGGGATTTTTTTTTTGACCACCATGAAATTTATGAAATTTATTGGACACCTGAATATAATGGTAGTTTAGATATTCTCTTTTGTTCCAAAATAATGATGGCATTTTGATTTTTTTTTCTTATTACAGATAATTTATATATTTATAGATAAAAATTTTAAAAAAAGTAAGATGCTTTAATATTTGAAATGTCAAAAACAATAATAAAATATTAAAATACTCTAAATAAATCAACATAAACAAATTAAATAATAATAATAAAATTAAGAACCTCCTTATATTTACTTTTCTCTCCATATTAGCCTAGAAAAAAAAATATGGAGGAAAAGGTAAAGCAAGATTGATACGATGAATAATTAAGCTAAATAGATTAACACTGGGACGGAATGCATTGGTCAGGACAAACGGGACCACAAAGTCTTGGTGAGATGATGAAAAAAAAAAAAAGCAATAAACAGAGATGAATACAAAGAAAATCGTACATCATAGGCTTCATTAATGTTTTGAAATTGCACCCCGCAATTATTTCCTTTGCATACGTCCGGATGATACTGAAATAAATCAAAAACATCAGAAAATCAGCAAACTTGAAACTTTCCCCAGAAAATAAATTTCAATTAAAAAAAAAAAATACATATGAAACTCAGAATCGAACCTTTAAAGCAAGTTGCCTGAAGGCTTTTTTGACCTCAGATTCAGAGGCATCAGGTTGGATCCTGAGAGTCCTGTAAGGATCCATAACAGAGGAAGAAGCACGACAAACCCTAACCTTGTTCTTCATCTTCTTCGTTTTCTTATCCTTAACTTGGATCCAAGAAGACCCATTTCCAGAAATCATTCGAACAGCTACGCTCGCCATCGTTGATCGAATTCAAGACACAAAAAAAATCAAAATTCTCAAAAACAAAAAATCAATCCACAAAAATATCTCGGTTCAATACTGAATACTATACGACGAGATTGAAATTTGGGTCTTCTAATAATGGTTTTGGGGAAAGAATAACGCTGATGGGTGCCCTGTAATGGGAAGAACAGTTATATAAAGCACAATGATTGAGAAGGAATCAATCAAATGGTAGGTGCGGATAAAATAATGGATCGGACAAGAGAGGGGCGACTATTATTTAAAGAAGGTAATGGAAAACGTTTTATGGATCGAGTGGGAACATTAAGAAGTCCTTATCCGAATCCGATTGGGGATGACGTGTAAGACTGCCATGGAGGAGACTCATTTTCTTTTTGAATTTATTTTTATTGTTCCTCTTTATATTTATTTTTAGAATTTTCAATATCCGGAATACAATCATTATCTAGAGATTATATTTTATTGTTTAGATTACAAAATAATTTTTTTTTATTTTTTTTATTCAAATTTGTCTTTTTTTAACATGGGAAAATATGGGAGACGGGGGATTAAGAAAAAATTATTGTAAGAGAGCAGAATTCTTTCATTTTAGGTGAGGTATATAGTTTAATTTTATTCTGAAATAAAAAGTAGTTTAAGGATTTGTTTTTGTTACCTTCTGTTTTTACAATTGTACAATAATAATATGATATGGTATTTTGATTAAGTTTATGCATAAGAAAGGAAGTTTATTTTGCTTTGAGTTTTTTAACCTTTATTTTAAAAAATTTTTTGTATTAATTATTTTTAAAAAATTTAATTTAATTTTTATTTAATTAATTATTTAATTAAAATAATTTATATAACATTAATAATGAAATTAATATCATTTTTAATTATTTTTTATATAAGTTATTCTTAAAAAACATATTAATTATACTTTTAACCTTTGTTATTTGAATATATGTAAGAAAAATACTTTTGGTTTAACTAATACTTTCTTTTAAAAATCACATATCATTCTGCACAAAAAAAAAAAAAACACATACCGTTAAAAACTTGAGAGCGAAATTAACTTTAATAGTATTATAATAACTTGGAATTGTTATTTAACACTAACAATGTCAACCAAAGGGTAAGGGTACCAATAATCTTGACTAGTTCTTTGGCAACAACATTATATAGACTCGCACATTCTATAATCCTTAGCTTTTTTTTTTTTGAACAATTCTATATTCCTTAGCTTGAAAATTATTTTGTGGCGAGAAATAAATTAGACAAATGAAAAGTATAAAGACTTGTCAAATTCTTTTATTTAGAATTGTATGATAAGATACAAGTAGTATTATAAAGATAATTTTTTTATTTTTTTTATATAATTTTATATGTCATTAAATAAGTAAATATATTTAATATTATGAGTTTTACATAAATTAAAAAAATAATTATTTTAATAACATGATAAATTATACAAAAAAATAAAATAAAATAATTATCTCAATAACATTTTTTTATGAGATATAATTTTTTTAGTAGTATTTCTTTGGCTACTTTCCTTAAAAACTTACTACTCCAATTCAAGACTCTATTCTTCAATCATTACGTATGATTAAAGTTGCTTGCTTGTGCTGTAGCTTGTACACCAAAGGAACCTCAAATTCATCAATAGGAAGAGTGCTCAATCTCATAAGGTGCGAAACTACAAAGAAAATGAAAAACTTTAGGGAGATTGAAAATCAAAGGGTTTTTACAATTACTATTTTAATAGTGTATATATATTTTTTATTATAAATTTATATTAAAAATTAAAAATTAAATTTTAATTTATAAATTATTTGATTAAATTTATTCATTTAATTATAATATTAAAATTAATATTTATTTTTATTTTTTTAAATATGTATTTATAAAAAAAATGTTCATAACTTATACATAAAAAATATAAGTAGAAAATCCTCAAATTAAAAGTGGTTGTGGTTTTTTTAAGAGCAGTAATATAAAAATAATTTTTTATAATATTTTTATATAATTTTTTATATATTATTATATAAATAAATATATTTAATAATATAAATTTTAAATAAATAGATAAAATTAATTATTTAAATAATATATAAAATTATATTAAAAATAATATAAAAAATTATCTTAAATTATTATTTTTAATGTTGGTGAGGTGAGTTGGTGACACGTGGGCATAACGAATATGGTTGCATTTACATCGTGGCTCGGAAATCAAGGGAAAGTGGACTTCAGTTTATCTTTTAACAGCGTAACTGCAGGGATAATGTCGGTTTTTAAGGTGTGTTTTTCTTTTTTCTTTTTTTTTCTTTTTTTTTTTATGGATCTGGTTCTAAGTGGATAACGTGGTCCACCTCATCCACACGTGGCTTACATGCGTTCACTCGTGATTTATCTAAAACACCCTTGATTGTAGAAAAAGTCCACCAATCAGGCGGCTACAAGTTCCACCAATCAGGCGGCTACAAGTTCCACTCAAAACTCAAAACCTACGAAATCTGAAGTCAGAACTCAAACTCGACGGCGTATATAATTAACGGTTTTTTTTTTATTTTAATTACATAATAAAAAATAATTAATTTTTATCTTTTATTTCACCCCATATATATTATGTAAATCAAATTAAAAACATTTTACTTTTAACAAAAAAAAAATGACATACTTAAGTCGTTAGCTATTTAATTAAGGATTTTAAACTTCAACTATTCCTAAATGAAGATTCAAACTTCCTTAATTTCATCGGCTTTAAGGCCTATAATAATATAATAATAAATACTTATTTTCTCATTGTTACACGATTTTTGACATTAATTGTTTTGATTCCTAATTTGTTTTAAAATATATTTGGGTTTAGAAAAATAGAGTGGAGGTAGAAGAAAAAAAATATTTATTTGGTTATAAAAAAAAAGAAAAAAAGAAAAAAAGAGGGGAATGAAAATTTTTTTCTTTACTTTAGTTATTTTTTAGGATATATTTAGATAAAGATTAATAAAGGAAAGTGAAAGAAGGGGAAAGAAAAGTGAAAGAAAGGGAAAGAAAAGAAAGGAAAGGAAAGTAAAGATGTTTACTTGAAAATTTTCAAGTGATTTCACACGTACGAAATCTGGATGCAGACATGCCATTTATTTTTTTGAAAGTCAAGAAAAAAAGATTTTCCCAATGATCCTCTCCTTTTATGCAGTCGACCTCTGTTAGGATAGCTGGAAGAACGTTGGTTTAAAACTGAGTTTTGCGCCATTCAGACGATTTGCAAAAAGTAGGGATACTTTCCTATATAATGGGTTGCTAATAGACCTGACAAAAATTCACTCGACCCATCAACCCGATTCTAACTGGACTCTTAAAAAATGGGTTAAGATTTACATATCTCAACTCGCAACCCGTAGATAACCTGTATTATCAACCCGTACGGGTCACGGGTCGGGTTAAGGTCAACTCGTCAACCAGGTTGATGGGTTGACCTGTTTGTTTTATTTTTTATTATTTTTTAAAAATATTATACTTATCATTCTTAATTAATTTTCCTATTGATAACTCCTTCTATTAATTCATATTCCCTAATTTCTAGAGAAAGAAAAAGAAATTATAATAAGTTTGATCTAATTACCCAAGTATTATTATTATTTTTATTTTTGGTATTAACAATTATCCAAGTATCATGAATGAAATGATAATACAACTAAAAATATTAAAAGAAGTGATGTTATGACATAAACATAATAACTTAGTGAAAGATGTTCTTTGAAGAGCAATTTCATCATTAAAAAAATGGATTAAACTACTTAATAATGTTTCAAGATGATTATAAAATTAAAACTTTATTTTCTAAGAAATTTAAATATTTTACGTTTAATATTTTTATTATTAATCAATTTATTATTTATAACTTTTTTTTATTTTTTTCTTAATTTAAATGTTTGTAATTGAAATTATAAAGTATTTAATGTTAATGAATCACAATATTTTAATTAGATTTAGATATATAATTTTATTTGTGTATAATAAAATTAACAAAAAATAATTATAAAAAATGAAAATAAAATTAACCTATGGGTTAACCCGTAACCCGTTAAGGTCGGGTTAGGGTTAGATGTTTTCAACCCACAACCTATTTATAACTCGACCCGACCTGACCCAAACCCGAAACCGATACGCCCGTTTGCCAGGTCTAGTTGCTAATCTGCCTTAGACAATTTCAAAGACTTTACCACTATCATAAATTTAAGTTAAGATATCCAAAATGAATTGAATGAGATGTAAATTAAAATAAACTTGATATTTATTGCATGAAAGGAAATCAAAGAAGCAATAACACAAACTAATTTGGGTACTTGAATGTTAAAAATAACTTAAATCTACTGGAATCTGTGCTCAAATTGAGATATGAAAGTTAAGATGAGCAATCACTACAAAACTAAAAAATTGAAAAATTGATGAGTTTTTGTATAAGGCTGATCATGTCTTGAAAAAATTCAGAAAGCTTCTATTTGTATCCTTTCTGCAAACTGTTTTTTGGCTGATCAGATCACGGATAACTTCCTCCTAAGTTCTAGGGATTTTTGTTCCTTTTAAATTCAAGCTACAACAACCAAATAACCTTTATTCTCCCAACCAACTTTACAGATGCACATCCTTTCAGTGAATTTAATCTCACCTTATCCATTGACATGTGGCATCACATAAAAAATACAATTTTTGGTGTAATCAAAAGGATTAGTATTAAATTTATTTGGATAGATTATAAA